TGTCTTCAGTCATCAAGCCTCACACAACTGTGGTTTTCTCAAGATGCCTGTGTGTTCAAGTAATCTGCCCAAGGCCAGCTGTTCCCTTCTTGCTCTTCCCCTTTACGCTCCCACTGCTTCTACTACCAGTGGCTGTCCAAACAGTACTTCATCTGATGGTTCACCAAAAGAGTAGGTTTGTTGTTTATTCTTTGGAAGGAGGGAGAAGAAGCGAACTGGTGAGGTGGTAAAGAGCAAAGGACTCTTTTGAGTACATCTCATGAGACACCTCGATGTTTCTAAACAAGCTTTTGCCATGTCAGAGGAAAGATTTGCTTTAACCTTTATATTCTGAAGTTATAAACTCCAAATGCTTGTGCTGGTACTGAAAAGGCAACCAATAAATAGTGAATCTCCCTGTTCAGGAAAGCTTACTGCTTTACGGACACATTCAGCTTTGTATTATGGGCCTAAAATCCTTCTCCACTATCCAGACGTAATTCAGGGAAATTAATGAACCCTGTTTCAATCTCAGGACACTCCTTATAATGCACTCCTTCCTGAAATCTTTCTGCCAATTTGTGCTAGAGCAAGCTAGAGGTACTGTGGGAGGCAGGTCTCCACATCATTGGGGATTACCAGTGTGGCTGAAGAAATACAGCTGAAGCTTTCCCCAGTGGTGTGAAAGCAGGAGTGAGAACAGAACCAGCCCTTCTGTTCTCATCTGTGAAATTAAATTTGTAGCTTTGCCCCAAAACCAGGCTCCTAAACAGGCCCAAGCTGGAGCTGGGAAAGTAACACTGCTTCCCAGCCTGTCTTTAGCAAGTCAGGGCATGACAAAGGAGAAAGCTCACATGTGCATTGAGCAGCCCTGTCCTTTGACAGGGCAGCAAGTGCTTGGATAGTACACTTACTGCAGCCTGTGCTGCATCGTGCCTGCCTGTGTATTATCTCCATAGCAGCAGTTCTGCTGAGACCAGCTGCTTCAATTCCAAAATTTTCTCTCCAGAAATATCGATACTATGACATTATGATTAGAAAGCACTTTACCAAATGCCTCTCAATTCTGCACAGCTCAGATGAAGAGCAGCTGCAAAAAGAAGGGACAGTTCCCTGAACATACAGAAAAAAAACACTGCAAAAACATTGGAGAAATGCAGGCTGTAAGAAGCAAGTCAAAATGGAATAATGATGGCAGAGAAAGCAGCCTGCAGTATATGCTTGTGCCTGTCATTTTAGATGTTGAAAGGACCATGAGCAGACTTCCTCCTTATGCTCTAGGATAAATGGCCACAGCACTGCAGTGCTACAGCTTTGTGCGGCAGGTGTGTGTATTTGTCAGATCCAGTTTTCTGTCCAAGGATAGATTAGAGCAAAATCCATCACAATCTGGGCCTGGTTTAGGAGAGTAGCTGTGGTCTTGAATCACTTGGCTCCAGGGACTGCTCTGCACAGCCCACTGGCAAAGAGAGTTACTGGAACTGATAAGCTTGTGGGGAGATTTACAAAGCAGGAATGCCACCACACCACCATGACTTGGCTTCACTGTTGGCTATTTCCCTGTGGCTGCTGACTCCATGCAGCAAGCTGTCAGCTGGATGCTTTGCAATGATCACACTGGAACTGCCAAAAGCTGCAAGCATTTTTCCCCATCAGACAGGCTGGATCAAGCTGGCTAACAGCACAGTCAATTCCAAATTCACTTAGAAGTCTCAGGCCCTGTCTGTGACCATCAGACACAGGGTATTCCTGAAGGCATCTGGTTACTGAGTTTATACAAGAACTGGGCAAACCACTCCAATCCCATCTGTTGTTCCAACCTCCTGAGCACAGAGAACAGAATCCTTGAAAGAGAAAAATCTGATGAAAAATGTCTGAAAATGAGACTCACACTAGAACAGGTGATCCTCCCAAGAAGGATGCTGTGCAACCTGACAGAAAACACGGCACGCTTCAGCACGCAGCTATGTAAACAAGGGCCTAACACACCATTTCTCTACTCAGATTTCATACTACAACTGAGCAAATACAACACAACCAAAGCAGAGAGATCACTTTGCTATGCTAAATGATTTGCTTCCTACTCCGAAAATCAATGAGGTAAATAAAATGTTTTATACAGATATCAGACAGCATCTCTCAGCAAACAAATGCTCATGTTTTTGGACGATATTCCTATGATGTTACTCTGGAAAATATTCAAAGTGTTTAGAGACTCATTCAGATTTTACCATTACACACTTTGCTTTTGTTGTGTTCCATTTATCTGCTCAATCTCCCTTCAAAGTTGCAGTTTTCTTACCTATTTCACTTTCTAACTTTTGGTCTATATTAGAAGACTGTTTGAATCCACAGTACTGCATTGAATACTTCAATGAAATTCCTGAAATGTAAGTCTCACCACACTACAATTGAGTTTAAACTTAAAGAATCCTTCTCTGGAAAAACAAACTTACATTGTATCACAGTATCACAGTATGCTAGAGATTGGAAGGGACCTCAAAAGATCATCTAGTCCAATCCCCCTGCCGGAGCAGGAACACCTAGATAATGTTACACAGGAATGTGTCCAGGCGGGCTTTGAATGTCTCCAGGGAAGGAGACTCCACAACCTCCCTGGGCAGCCTGTTCCAGTGTTCCGTCACCCTCACTGAGAAGAAGTTTCTTCTCAAGTTTAAGTGGAACCTCTTGTGTTCCAGTTTGCACCCATTACCCCTTGTCCTATCATTGTTTGCCACTGAGTACAGCCTGGCTCCATCCTCGTGACACTCCCCCTTTATATATTTATAGACAATAATAAGGTCACCCCTCAGTCTCCTCTTCTCCAAACTATAGAGACCCAGCTCCCTCAGTCTTTCCTCATAAGGGAGATGCTCCACTCCCTCAATCATCTTGGTTGCCCTGCGCTGGACTCTCTCCAGCAGCTCCCTGTCCTTCTTGAACTGAGGGGCCCAGAACTGGACACAATATTCCAGATGGGGTCTCACCAGGGCAGAGTAGAGGGGAAGGAGGACCTCTCTCGACCTACTAACCACCGCCCTTCTAATACACCACAGGATGCCATTGGCCTTCTTAGCCACAAGGGCACAGTGTTGGCTCATGGTCATCCTGTCGTCCACTAGGACCCCCAGGTCCCTCTCCCCTACACTGCTCTCTAGCAGGTCGTTCCCCAACCTATACTGGAACCTGGGGTTGTTCCTGCCCAGATGCAGGACTCTACACTTCCCCTTGTTATATTTCATCAAGTTATTCCCTGCCCAACTCTCCAGCCTGTCCAGGTCTCTCTGGATGGCAGCACAGCCTTCTGGCGTGTCAGCCACTCCTCCCAGCTTAGTGTCATCAGCAAACTTGCTGATAGTACACTCAATTCCCTCATCTAAATCGTTGATGAATATATTAAATAATACCGGTCCCAGTACTGACCCTTGAGGCACTCCACTAGTTACAGGCCTCCAACTAGACTCCGCCCCATAGACTACAACTCTCTGGCTTCTCTCCTTCAGCCAGTTCGCAGTCCACCTCACTACCTGATCATCCAGACCACACTTCCTCAATTTAGCTGTGAGGATGCTGTGCGAGACTGTGTCAAATGCTTTGCTGAAGTCAAGGTAGACCACATCCACCGCTCTGCCATCATCCATCCACCGTGTTATTTCCTCATAAAAGGCTAAGAGATTGGTCAAACATGATTTCCCCCTGGTGAAGCCATGTTGACTGCCCCTCATAACCCTCTTATCCTTGATATGCCTTAAGATGGCACCAAGGATAAGGTGTTCCATCACTTTCCCAGGGATGGAGGTGAGGCTGACCGGTCTATAGTTACCCGGGTCCTCCTTCTTGCCCCTTTTGAAGACTGGAGTGACATTTGCTTTCCTCCAGTCCTCAGGCACCTCTCCTGTTTCCCAAGACTTGGTAAAGATGATGGCGAGTGGTCTAGCAATGACTTCCGCCAGTTCCCTCAGCACCCACGGGTGCATCCCATCTGGACCCATGGATTTATGGATGTCCAGATTGCTCAACTGATCTCTAACCCATTCCTCATCGACTAAGGCAAACCGTTCTGTCGACCTGTCTTCATCTAAGGTCTCAGGGGTAACATTCACTGACTGCATATTTTTTTAATCTCAATTTTCTTTCTGCTCGTAGTAAGATTGCTATACTTACTTGTGCTGGAAAACAGCTGACACACAAGTACATATATGAAACAGCAGTGTAAAGATATATGCTCCATCTGCTTATAGGAAAGTTACATTAATTAAGTGCTCTATGCTGCATGCAGACATGTTAGCATCATTTGCAGGAGACGGCTTGATGGAATTCTGTTGATAGCAGTACAGTTGTGTTCCCTCCCATCAAGCCGAATTTAGCCCTTCTAGTCACCAAATCACATGAGTAAACTTTATGCATATATTTATTTTATTTTTAGGTTTCCAAGATCAATCAATGACACTCGTGTAAGGAGATTGGTATTGCAGCGCTAGGTAAAAAATGAATTAAGTTCTTCTGAACACTGCAGTCATTGGGATAGACTCTTTGATGGATTCCAATGGCACAGCTCTGTGGATTGCAAACAGAATTATGGCTTTAAACAGTCATGGACTTTGGTGCATCAGATCATAATGAACCCATGCAGTAGAGCAAGCAGTAGGAGTATTTAAACAATAGATTTCACCAGCCTCTTTTAAATCTCTTCCTATTGACATCTGTACACCTCAGTCTGCAAGGTACTGTAATCATTATGCACTGCTGCAAGGTGGATGTCAGGTACCCTACACGCATCTGCCCCAGCAGAGAAGCAACTGCTGCAGCTGACCATTTATTTTGTTCACACAGCACAAGAATACTTCCATTTAATTTCAGCTGCCCTAGCCTCCCCCATAACTAGATTATTGTTATCACGCTCCACGTGTACTGACAAGGATGTTTGTTATACATAATTAAAGATATTAATTTTGCATGGAACAGAAGACACAGAGCCAAGAACTTAATTTTTTTCTTTAAATCTCCCATTAGAAAATTACCTTCATTAGCACCGACTCGCTGAGCTTCTCTCTGTTGACAATTTTTATAGCAACCTTCTGACATGTGACACAGTGAACCCCCAACTTCACAAGCCCTGCAGGAGAAACAGAGCAAAACAGAAAGAAATAACTGGTTAGAGACAGTTGCTGTTGAGATTTTTGCTATTAGGATGCCACCCAGCATTTGGGAACTTTCAGCAGTCCCTCTCCCAGCCGATAAGGTCTTGTGAGTAAAGACCCTGCAGCCCACATTGTGACCATTTGGCAGTGAAGCTGTGAACATCCTTAATGCTGCTGCAGCTTCTGCCACTAAAGCTGTATTTTCGTTGAAGCACGGTTTTCCAGCTTTCCCCACTCAATGGGTGTTCTACCAATAAGGAGTAAACTTGTGCCAATTTAACTGCAGTAGGCTGAGGGCTTTTGCTGACACCCAACATCAAAAAAAGCTCAGAAATCAACAAAAATAAATGGTCAAATGTCCACAGTGTAGACATTGCCTCTACATTTTCCTAGCTCCTTCCAAAGCTTTCATGATCATAAAAACGTACTTAATTATGCTTTCCCTTACTGCTTGAATTTACTCTGCTGTATAAAGTTAATGCTGTGATGAATGCCATTATGGCATGGAGGAACATCAACATATGCTGATACAGTTTGAAATTCTTTTCATTTGTTATTATTTACTATGTTCTTGTCCTCAAATAACTTACGAGTGCTGTTACATGATTATATTGGCAAAAGGATATGGATATCCCCAACAGGATCAGGATGTCTGAGCTATCACCAAAATATGGAAAAAAACCTCCAAGAATTAAAAGAGGTAAGTAACATATATGCAAGCAGTATCTTCTGCAAAACTTTTATTTAAATCTGCTGACTTTCATGCAAGTACATTGAGGTATCTCTCACAAGTGAGTTTAAGATGGTCTACTGAACTCTCAACTCTTACTGCCATTAAGAAAATTTGTACCTGGAAAAATGGTACTTTGTAGGTGTCATTCCAGTGAGATATTGTTTGGTTCATCTTTCACTCATGTCACGCATGCACTTGACAGGCTGGATCCCACCCCACTCCACACACAGTATACCAAATTGCTATTTAGTTTAATTCTGTCATAACTGAAGTAAGAAAAAATGGCACCTCCCTGGTGTCATTGTGACCTGCTGGGCTTCGCAGAGCATTTATGAGCAATGATATCTTACAGTAAGAAAAGGTCTAACTCAGCTCACAGCTCCTAGGTTGGGTTGCAGTTAAGATCCTGATCTCATCCCCTGATGCAAACCCAAAGCCAACATGTTGCTTTATCGGCACATTGAACAAAACAGATCTGTAGTCCAGTGAAACAATGAGCACAGGACTTCACAATTCTTATCAAGGGATGAATATATAAACTATTGCCTTACTGTAAACTGTCCTCAGTGAAATAACCTGGAGTTTCATCAGGGACTCTAGCAATCTCCTGCAGATAACTTGTCCATCATTTTGCTACACCGTTAATCATAAATTTGGAACCATTAATCACTGGTTATTATGCAGAGAAATAAAATCCCAACTTGCTTCCAGTCACATCTCTTTTACGGTGTGCTCAAGTGTTCTGTATATTTCTAGTCACATAATTTCTAAGTCTCATCTGGTTAAATGCTGACATCTTTACTTTCAGCTGTGACATAAACAAGTCACAAAAATTAAGAGTGCAGCACAGTGACAAATCCATTTGAAACTGTATAGCTATAGCCTGTCCTCTGCCTGAAGTGGCTAAGCACAGCTGGGGGAAGATGCTACAATGTCCAGCCACGCTCACTCTTACGTCTGAATTTTGTCTATAAATTTATAATATACCCACAGCACTACTGGCTCAATTGTCACCGTTCATAGCAGCTGCAGCCATACTTATGCTTCTTCTCTTTGCTTTTGTTCTGTGTTTGGATAGTGGCTACTTGGCCACATAGCTTGTCAAAAGCGTGCACAGTTTCAATCTGTGCTGATCGCTTCCTTCCTGATCCCAGCACAAATCACAGCCTTATATCACTCTTAGAGCACAACCACATCACTCACTACATTGCCTTTAGTTACACTTCGAAATCTCAGCAGAACTTCTAGCTCAGTCCTTTATAGCTAGACTCCCTGGATCTGTGCACTGTGCTGTAGTGTAATGTGCTGCAGACCAATTATTTTCAGAGGTCAACAAAGGTACACAAACAACTGCTCTTTGTAACTGGTCCTTCACCATGAAGAAAATAGAATAGCTTCTTTCTGGTATCTCACACTTCAGGTTTTGATTTCAGATGTTGCTCCCAAATCAAGACATCTGTCCCACTGATCCTGGCTGATCTCTAAACTATTCTTCCCTTTTTTCTTCCTCAAGCACCCTGTCATTAAGTCATAGAAGGGTTTTAACCATGAACTTCTGGGACGCCACCATGCTGTACAAGCAATCTTTACAGCATCCTCTGTCCTTCTGGCTACTTACCTACCACAGAAACTCAAAAATTAAAAGTAAACCATTCTGTTTACTCCAATAAAGAAGTTAATCAACTGTTACAAGACACTGCACACCTTGCAAAAATCACACTGATACAGAACCGCACTGATTTTATACTGAATTAACTTCACTGACCTCAAGAAGGCGTTCTTGATTTACATCACGGTACCAGAAGACAGAATGAGAAAACACATGTGAGATTTAATGCATTTTTCTTTTCTCCTGATTCACATATTAAAAATAAAGGAAAAAAAATGCACTGTCACCACTGTCTGGTTTGTGGAGACAGAAGACAACCTCTGAGCAAGCCCAAGACAGCACTTTTCACTGTACTAAATTCAGTGAGTGTTATTTTAGGATAAAAATAAAACATGTCGCTCTGCCTTGCCTCTTCCTCCCTCCCTCCCCCAGGTACTTCCTTTTGACATTTGCATGCCAACCTAATAAAAAAAAAATAAAAATCTCTCTTGGCAAGTCCATCTATAGGATAAGGAACCTGCCACTATGAGGAAATCCTAACAAGCTTCTGCAGGAAAGGCTTGTATTCAGAAACTCTGTTTCTGTCCTGTAATTCCAGTCTAGCGCATAACTACTCAAAGATGATACTTGGGGATTTGAACTCCTGTGGGCTCCTGATGCTTAGGAAGCCTTTTTACTGACACAGAGAACATAAACCATCCAAGACGCATTATTTATCTGTGCAATGACAGACCTTTAGAGGGAATAAGAAGTCACTATGTGGCTTCAGAGTAAACTGCTGAGCTGTTATTGACATGGAAGTGGCAGAAATGCCTGCTTAGGAACAAGTATTCGAGGTGTGTTTAAAGAGTTGTGGAAAAGGCTGTGTGTCTTCCAGTTCTCTTTCTCCTGCATATGCAGGTGCTAATGAGCACCTTTAATCTATAGTAAGCCTCCAATATAAATGCATCAATAAATTTGGTACTTGTAAAAATTGTGAATGCATTCAGGCCAGCACAGGTACCTGTGTGGTCCCCAAAGGAAAAGAAACAAGGGTGCTGCTAAGAGGTTGCTTTGCACTGGCTCGACATAAAGCAAGTCTGCTAGGCAACAAATAGAGCTTGAACTTGTCAGCTTCATGAGTAATTAACCCCTCAAATGTAGACAAGTAACCTTTGTGATTGTTAGAGTTAACTCTGGTCTGTCCTGGCAAAAAATCTAAGACTCTCTGGGAATCAAGCACTTGAAGTTTGCCCCAACCACCCACATAGCTGTCACATATACTCTTTCAGGCACACTTCAGATTTCCATCCATAGGTGGTTCCTGTGGGCTCATGGGCACTGGCATGCCTCTCAAACAGACCGTTACATCCTGTGAGCTGCAAGCATTGGACTGCTTTTGATCTTAGCCACTGAAATGCACCAGAACCAGCTCTATAATTTCAGGTTGGGAAGTAAAGAAGGAAACATGAACATGCTGAAACACAAGGGGATGTGCAAGCTAACATTGTCTTTTCATTTATAATTAAAAGCCACAATTTGAAAACCAATTTGAAAACCAATGAGCATGACCTCAGATGACACAAGGGAAAGATGCCATTCAAGGAAGAAGAGCAAAGGCAAGCATACAGGTCTGAGGCAGCCTAATGCCACACTGACCTGCTAACAACCATGCCTGCACATTTTGGTGCTGGTAAACTCCCACTCTGCAGATGCTTAAAGATATGTAGATCTTCTCTGAAAAGGACGGGAGCTTATGTGATGAGCAAGGGACAGATATAGACCAGCTGGACAGGTGGACAGCCCATCCTGACGCAGTACAGAGAATAATCCTTTGTTTAACCCAAGAAGAATGTACTGTGGGGATGGAGAAACAAAAGCTTCCCTCCAGCTGAGACAATATATTCACCGTGAATCCTTAATTGCAGCAAGTTGTATCTGTGGCTTATATTGTAGGTGGCAATCACTTCCATGACTTTTCAGCCAAGGATAGGATTTCAAAAAAGCCTGATTTACTTCTGCCTTGCATCTTGTGTAGCAATTTTGTCTAACACAGACCGAATAAAATAGTAAAAGTTGTGCTATTTCATATCCATGTTACAGTTGTGTAAATAGCAGCAAGAGGAAACACAGCTATGGACAGTATCACCTTACTAATGATCCTGTTATTAAAACCCTTCATTAGAGAAAGAAACGTTCTGGAAACAAGAGGGAACTGTTTTTCAATCCAAAGTTGGAGTCTGCCAAAGACACTGATCTGAAACAAATTATCATTGTGTGTGTGAGAGAGACAAATAATGAAACAACATTGTTGTTTAAATACAGCACTTACTGTATACTCATTTTTTATGAATAATATTCACACAGTCTTTCAGAAATGTTAAACACAAGTAACTCATTATCCTGATTTTTAACCATAAGGCAATTAACTACTTCAAGAAGCAAAGAAAAGTTAGGTACATTTACTACTTCTAATACATATGATTTTTACGAGAATAAATGGAGGCTTTTCATTTTCTTTTAAAATAAAACCAACCCAATGCCCTGTTTGTAAGTATTGATAAATTTGTGCAGCATGGAAAGCAGCCACTGATTTCAGAAGATCATCTGCACATCGCATGTTGCTTGCTCTTCATTTCACTTCAGAGCACATT